CATGCTTTGCCAGCATATTATGGGACTTTTAATGCGTGTTCGCAATGCAAAACTATACAAATTTCAAATTCGTTTGGCCTTTATCCAATTAGATATGGCACCAAACTGTGGAATGAGATTAGTAAGATAAATACAAGCGGCGAATCAATGCCCTAAAGAGCCCCCCCCCCCCTACCTCATAAGACAAAACCGATGATTTGGACATTAAACATACATTATGTAAGAGCTACATCCGCCTATAGCAGGTCCTTCTTTAGGCCTGAAATGTTATCTTAACTTATCCAGACCATAATCAACTCTCGATGTCATTGCTAGCCTGCGATATTTACTGGATTCGGATTCGATCTGCTTCTCAACGCTCATTCGTGATAAAATCAAAAAATGGATAATCGTACCGACGTTAATAACGATATCGAGGCTAAGCCCAAATTCAAGCGCTAAATTCTCGGTTCAGAGTGGATCAATTTGACTGTAGTAATGATGATCGGGGCTAGGCCCAAAATTCAATCGCTAAATTCTCTGTTCATAGTGGATCAATTTGACTGAAATTTTCAGCAAATCCCCATTACATTATCTAGTTTCTAACTAGTATAGTGAGAACTGCCAGCTCTTTATCTAATCTCCCATAATGTATCTTTAAATGAAATGAAATAGAGTTTAACGTCCCGTCGTTCAGCACCAAATGTGCTAATCAAGACGAGAATACGACTTACTCTTATTTCAAATTCCAACAGCCAAGGTTTCTTTTACGTGCACGTCATTAAAACCACTAGACAGTGTTCCTTGCCAGGAACCCCGTCTTGCACCACTGAAAAGTGGAAACCACGCCGGACTTTCTCTTTCAACACCGGGAGCGAACCCGAGACCGAGTCAGGGACTTACTCACCGAGCAACCGCAGCTCACGATGATTTGGAAGCTTGACACGATAGAAAGCTAAAATAATATCAAAACTACTTTATATATGTGCGTAAAATATTTCATAATTTTGAGCGGAAAAGATACGCTATTTAACTAATCATTACCTATCTATATTTATTTATTCACTTTCATGCATGACGTAATGAGTTCTTACCATATATTTTATTGTTCTCGTAGAAACAAAATATGCCAAATAAGTCGATATAGCAGTATTAGGAAAAATGCACGACAAGGAAACCTATTTATTTATTTTAAAATATTTAGAATAGTTTGCTTTTGTACATAAAATATTTTATGATTTTTATCTGTCGGGTTATGAAAAAGGCGAGATTTTACATGTCCCCAATCAACCCCCATACAATTGTAAACAGCGCCATCTGTTACCAAAATGGGCTGAGAATTATGACGACTTTATCGCGTAACATTTGTGAAATGTCAAAATGTTAACGAAACTAAACAGACTACAATAAATTAAAAGTAATAATGGAAATAGAACAAAATACAAATTCTAACTGCCATATTTTAAAAAATATTAGCATTAGCATTGTACATGTGTAAATAGCCAATTTAACATGTGTTAGTAAGAAGTTACATGCATAGAAGTAAGCATATTAGCATACGTATTACTAGATTATGAGTTAGAATTATGAGGGAAATTCCGCTTCATAATGGACCCTCTAGAGGTGACAATTTTTGTCCGATTTTTATGAAACTTAAAATACATCTTTATGTTTCAAAGATCTCAGTCCCTTTCGATATTCGCGCATTTCAGACCTTACCTTCCTGGATTATGGCCCCTGATTGTATGAAAAATCACATTTTTGTTTTAGCTTGTTCTCCATCCAACTCTTGCAAAATGTGGGCGTATCTTGCCTGGCAACCATTGGTTTATTGTTTCAGAATCATGTCTCGAACGTACAAAAAGCTGGCGCAATATGGAGCCTGTGGTAATTCAAAAATGTATTCTGCTTTAGACGCTGTTGGAAATGATACACCTTTGATACGAACTGGCAGACTGTTCGGGATACCAGCAAGAATAATAAGACACACTCGAGATGGACTAGTTCTCCAAATTTCAAATTTGGCGATAACTAACTCGATATTATTAATTCCCACAAGCATCTTGGCATTAACTTATCAAATGATTGCAAATGGAGCAAACACATTGACACGTTGTGCAGGTCAGTCTCAAAACGACTAAATTATATACTAAGAAAGCTAAAATATACACTACAACTGCGACTTCGCTTGATAAAATCTATGTAGTACATATGGGATAGCTGTTGGTCAACCCACGCAGAAAAACTCGAAAAAATTCAATTAAAGGCTGCGAGAATAGTCACCGGACTTCCAAAATTATGTAGTCCAGTAGCGCTTGACTATGAATCTGGTTGGAACAAGCGTTCTAAACGCCGGAGTAGAAGTCTTACCATTTTAAACAATAACGCACCCGGATATTTACTAGATATTATTCGTGCCTTTGACAGCAATACACATAGATATAACTTAAGAAATAGTGACCATATTTCCCCACCCTACTTTGCACAACTGTAAAAACGTGCTTTTTTGTTGTTGTTGTTTATTTTTGTGTACATAATACTATTACATTGTGAGATTTTCCCCTTGCAACTTTCGATTTCGACTTTTTGTTCGTAAGGGTGAATACTCATATTGAAATTCAAAAGAAGACAGTAAATCATCCAGTGAGATTCTTTGTGCATATCAAAAAAAAAAAAAAAAAAATACTTTCATAAACCAAATATGTAAGAATTTATCTATAATGGGATTTTTAACTATTTATTATAACATTTATATCTTTCGTTTTTGTATGTTCTTAAGAATTGTTTTCATAATTTTTGTCCCAGTCCGTTTGTGTACTGTATTTATGTTCTGGTACAATAAACCAAACCAACAATTAAAAGGAATATGAAACAATTAGTTTGACTACTGTTAATGCCGACATGCCAAGTCAGAATTACTTCCATGACAGAACCAGTCTATGGCTGGAGAGCTGGAAATTATTGCGGCAAGTAATGTTCTGAAACGACCCATTCGCAGCCGAATTTTGCCAATCCCAAAGGTCATTCAGAATCAGTGATGCAAAAGTACTACGCATTGACAGGTCTATGGTGGTGATTTTACCAAGCATGTTGTTCTCAAAAGAGGAATAAATTGGACTAATTTCAGGCCAACTGTCTCACCAATGGTCAGTTGTGTAAAACAGACTAAGAAAGGTGATATCTTAAAACTCACAGATGAGATTGGCGTCTCTGATCCAGTCCGTAGATTCAACGAAGAATTCTTCGCTGAGGTTGGTCGCCAACCTGTCGGTCGAGAGGATCTTGGAGAGAGTGACTAAGATGAGTGACTGTTTTTTGTAATCGATGTGTACCATGTCTCCGTTAAACATACATTATGCAAGAGCTAAATCTGCCTATTTCAGGTCTTTTTTTCGGCCTGAAATGTTATCTAAATTATTAATTAGACATTAATTAACCTATCCAAGCCATAATCAACTCTGGATGGCAGCGCTAGCCTGCGATCTTTAGTGGATTGTAAGCCGATTTACTGCATAACTTTCCTTCTCGATTAAACGATTAAATGGATAATCGAGACTATGCTGTTTATCTTACTGACTTTAGTAATGACGACCGAGGCTTATGGGGATTTCAGTCGCTTAGTTCTCGGTTCATAGTGGATCAATTTGAATGAAATTTTCACCAAATTGCCTTTACATTATCTAGTTTTTAACTATTAGTGAGAACTGCCAACTCGTTACCGAATCTCCCATAATGTATCTTTAATGACTGTTAGTCAGAGAATAAAGTAAGGGGGATTTTTCAAAATATTGATTCCACTGTGGCTTTGTATTTGTGATATACGACTGTAAACCCTGAAATTTTCGTGGCCCTAAGATTCGCAGGAATTTTGATGATTTTGAATTCTCGTCCATTTAATTTATCGTTTTCATGGAAAGTTTAATAGAAAATGGTTTACAGCAAAAATGTCCACACGATTTTATTTTCATGTGTCAACCCCCACATTGGACCTACCAAAAATTCAGGGTTTACAGTAAAGAAATAAGCCTATGATTTTTGGTATGAATGGCGCTCATGGGATTGTTGGATATTGGGCCCTAATGGGATGGGAGCCGGACAAGGACAGCTGTCTAGTCGTTCGGATGATGCGAAAAAACTGAGGCCCTTTGTATACATTGACGTGCACGTAGAAGACCCCTTTGTAGATGGAATTCGATATAATAGTAGGCCTTAGCGCCGCTCTCCGGTCAAAATTTCCCTCATAGCACACTTCTAGATGGAAACGAAATGGGGTTTAGCATCCTACTGTTCTGCTCCGAACTGGACGGGCATATGCCATTCAGTGTAATATGTGGGAAATTATGCCCGGACAGCGGCACTACTGCCTACTCTTATATCGAATTCCAACTGTCTAGGTATCTTTTACGTGCACGTCAATGTGTACACGGGGCCTCGATTTTTTGGTTCCATCCGAACGACTAGACAGCTGTCCTTGTCAGGCCCTCCGTCCTGCATCACTGACAAGGGGGAACCACGCCGGAAAATCTGAATGAACTTTCTCGGCCAATGCAGGGATCGAACACCCAACCTCCAGGCTAGCGAGCCACTGTCTTACCCACCGTGACCTCCTATGCACCAAAATCAATAGTTGCCGTCCTTAGGGTATAATGAATAAGTATACCAAATTCCAAGATAATTCATCCAGAATTATGACCTTCAGACGCTAAACACAAAAATTGGACGTGGCTCTGGCCTTGGGGGTCAGGCCATGCACCAAAATCAATAGTTGTCATCTTTAGACTATAAGAAATACATATACCAAGTTCCAAGACGATCCAGATACAAACACACACACACACGAGATCTTTGTCAAATTGGATAAAAATTGTGACCTGTAGATTGTATAAAAACGAGCCGCAATGTAATTATAAATTTGTTGGCAAAAGACACAAAAGAATATTTAGTAAACCCAAAGGAGAAACTAGTAAAAAAGACCGAAATTATGGCTACACGAAAGACAATAGAGAAACTCTTTATCTTACCTGTTACTGTGTGGAATAGGGTACAGTTTACCATTCGTTAGATTCCACGATTGATATGTGATAAAATAAAGACTAACAATGCTCAGCACAATCAACCCAAACATTATTCTTCTTGGTTTAATAACTGATGAAATAAATAAAGAAGATACATTTGTAACATCCTATTGCCAGGTCCCTAACCTCCGTGGCCATTTCTGAGTGAATAAGGATCAGATGTAACGAAGTTTCTTACATACGAGACCCTAGAGAAGATATTTGTAAGGTGGAACGAAAAATAACCTATCAATACAAATCACAACTTACATGTTTGATTTGTCGTTTCAGAATATGTTCAGAATTTAGCTGCAATCCATTAACACGACTTAAAGTAATGGGCATAATATCGAGAAATGCACCAACACTTTGAGATCTAGCCACTACGTTTGAACAGATCTAAATCGCAAGCTAAGAAACTTCGAAGCCCACACTTTGCCGTGCATATACAATGATTACGCCAAAATCAATGGCTACAGGCTTGTGCGAACTAGTGGAATACAATAAAACATATCAAAGAGCTAACTATCAATCCTACATAATGTGGCATTACAGACGCCAGAATGCCCCATCGCCTCTTGGGCATAGCTGGGAACTAGTGAACGGCAAGTGTTTTTCAATACGATACACACACGGTGCATCAAAAACCATCATCAAACCCTATTCCCCAAGAAATGGCCACGGATGCATGGGATTGTGCCCCGGGTACCAAGTCACAATATAAATACTAATTTGCAAAAAAAAAACCAATCATTGTTGTATCTTCGCCAAATGCCCTCGGAATGATAAATATTAATACAATCAAAATGCACCGAAAATAACTGGCTAACGGTTGTGGGAACAACGAGATACTCACACGTCCAGTAGACTGTGCAATTAAATGGTGGAAAAGGAAGTTGGCAGAGGATACTACTTAGACTTCGATATTTATCATAAATGGACATCGCAGCGAATAAGGTATTATACAGGCTGCAAATGGATTCTCCCTAAATCAAGTCACGTGACAAAATATGTTTCTTAAAATACAATTTATGTTTTAAGAGGAAACGTTCTCTCCAGCAATCATCTGTTTTATTGCTGAATCCCGAATAACGTGCTGGCTCGTTATTCGTGATTCGCCAATAACGAATAACGAGCCAGCACGTTATTCGGGATTCGGGATTCGCCACTAAAACAGATCGGCCTACGTTGCATCCGACCATTTCATCTCTATCCCCGACCGTAGGGGTAAGTGAACGTTAGGTGACCGACTAACAAGGAGACGACCGTTTAGTGAGCGAATAAGGTGTTGACTGGTTTGTTGATGTGCACTGGGCAGTCATCTCCTGCACTCACAGACTGGCCTACCTTCCACCCGACCATTTCCTCGCTATCTCCGACCGTAGGGATAAGTGAACGTTGCGCGGCCAACTAGCACGAGACGACCGTTTTTTATGCGAGTAGGGTGCTAACTGGTTTGTTAGAGTGTACGGAGCGATCTATCTTGCATCCGACTATTTCCCCGGCGAGTGACCGATTAGCACGGGGACGACCGTTTCTCAAGCGAGTAGGGTGCTGGCTGGTTTGTTAGGGTGCACATGGCAGTCATCTGCAGCAATCGCCTGTTTTATTACCGACTAGCAAGAAAACGATCGTTTGTTGGGCGAATAACGGGTTGACTGGTTTGTTGGTGTGCACTTGGCAGTCCTCTCCTGCCCTCACCTGTTTTATTGTCGAATCCCGAATATCGAGCCAGCACGGTCGTCTCCTTGTTAGTCGGTCACCCAACGTTCACTTACCCCTACGGTCGGAGTTAGGGAGGAAATGGTCGGATGCAATGTAGATCGGTCTGTTTTAATGGCGAAGCCCGGATCCCGACTCCTGGCTCGTTATTCGCGATTCGCAAATAACTAATAACGAGCCTGTTATTGACGAATCCCGAATATCGAGCCAGGACGTTATTCGGGATTCGGTAATAAAACAGGTGATTGCTGGAGAGGACTGCTACGTACACTCTAACAAACCAGTTAGCGCGTGCTGGCTCGTTATTTGGGATTCGACAATAAAACAGGTGAGTGCACAGTGCACACCAACAAACCATTCAACACCTTATTCGCTCAAAAAACGTTCGTCTCCTTGTTAGTCGGTCACCCAACGTTCACATACCCCTACGCTCGGGGGTAGCGAGGAAATGGACGGATGCAGCGTAGATCGGTCTGTTTTAGTGGCGAATCCCGAATCCAAAATCCGGAATAACCTGCTGGTACGTTATTCGGGATTCGGCAATAAAACAGGTGATTGCTGAAGATGACTGACCCGTTCACTGTAACCAACCAATCAGCGCCCTATTCGCTTTACAAACAGTCGTCTCCGTGCTAGTCGGTCACCCAACGAGGAAATGGTCGGATGCAAGATAGATCGTTCTCTTTTAGTGGCGAATCCCCAATCCCGAATAACGTGCTGGCTCGTAATTCGTCATTCGCGAATCACGAATAACGAGCCAGAACGTTATTCCGGATTCGGCAATAAAACAGGTGATTGCTGGAGATGACTGCCCCGTGCACTCTAACAAACCAGTCAGCACCCTACTCGATCGAGAAACGGTCGTCTCCGTGCTAATCGGTCACCCAACGAGGAAATGGTCGGTTGCAAGATAGATCGTTTTGTTTTAGTGGCGAATCCCGAATACCGTGCCGGCTCGTTATTCGTTATTGGCGAATCCCAAATAACGAGCCAGCACGGTATCCGGGATAATAACGTGCCAACTTCACGTTGCCGTTTTAAGAGGGATTTGAAGCAAACTTTTGATAGATAAACTACCTTGAATATATGTTTTTAGAACAAATACATCGTCAAATAAATTGTTGCTATTGGACAGAACAGGACGGCCAACGGATACGAATTATTTTATACTGACACAGGTATATTATGGGGACTTCATTACACAATAGATTAGTTTCAAACTGGAAAATACTATTAAGATTCAACAACAATTTAACACATAGTATAGTTCGAAAAACACCCAAATTGCCGTCAGATTACCCGGCTTTGAAAGATATACGTCGTATTTGATATACTCTTTCAAATAAAAAGTAGTGGACATTCAGAAACAATACAAAACTGCGGAAATGCACTGCTGTTTTTATTAGAGGTAACCAGTGTATGTTAATAACAGGCCAATTGCCTACACGTGAACATAAAAAGTTCATATGGGCGGCTTATCTGACGGCCCCATTTCATTCGCAAAGAGATACACTGTCAAAAGTGAAAATGAACGTTTTTGATTTTTGTCTTAATAATGAGTAATTGCTCCACCAATCTTCATACAATCAGCAATTCGTCGTGGCATGCGCCTAATCAACCGGCCAATCACGATTTGGGGCAATCTGACCCACTCCTCTTGCAGTGCCACGGCCAATTCTTGCAGTGTTGTCGATTGACGTTGACGTCGAAGAACACGTCTCCCGATCATGTCCCAGACATGCTCTATAGGGGAAAGGTCAGGACTCACGGCTGGCCAAGGCATATGGATAATATGGTGAGCGCGGTAGGCACGAGCATTATCATCTTGAAAGATGAAACGTCGACCTGCACGTTGAGCAAAGGGCAAAACTATCGGTGCCAGGATGTGGTCACGGTAGTACACACCAGTGATCCTTCCTTGAACAATATGCAAGTCCGTTCTGGAAGTCATGGTGATTCCTCTCCACACCATAACAGACCCACGCCCGAATCTGTCATGCTGTCTGACGTTAACGTTAGCATGACGCTCATTTACACGCGTCCAAACGCAAGCACGCCTATCGATGAAATCCTGAGTAAATCTCGACTCATCTGAGAACTTTACACGCGCCCATCGATGATTACCCCAATTTCTACGCTGCCTACACCATTGACGCCTGTTTGCCACGTGCTTGCGAGTTAATGGAGGCACAACACGCGGTCGTCGCGCATGCAAATGGGCTGCATGGAGCCGATTTATAATCGTTTGGGGGTGTAACTCGAATTCCTGTAACTTGGTACAAATTTACAGAAAGCTGATTGGCCGTTTGTCCTCGATTTTGAAGGACCTGTACGAATGTATCGATCCTGGGCTTGTGAAGTGGCTCCAGCACGACCTGAACGAGGTCTATCATCAATATTGTGTTTTTGTTGGTACCGGTTCCACAGTTTGCTGATCACAGACTGTGACACATTAAGCATGTTGGCTACTGCTCGCTGTGTAGAACCCATTTGAAGCATGCCAATAGCACGTAGACGTTCATCATGTTGAAGACGTCTCATTGCAAATTAAACGTAACACACTAAAGCAAAGATACGCTAAAAAGTAAATCTTATGCAAGAACCGATAGGAAAGCAAACATGGATAGGATAAACCAGCACGCGGCAGTTTTCACCAACCCTTCCTTGAAGTGTCAAATTTGACAATGAACCACTCCCACGTGTATTGCGCTATTGCGATAAGTTCTTCATCTATGAACATACTCTCAAAGCATATCAAGTGTCCATGACTATGTATTATATCACAACCTGTATAGGTATTTGCATTTCAATATCCCCTACTTTTTAAGAGTATATATTCCCTAAGCACACACACAAATATTATATACTTATATACTTATAAATGACAATCCTCAATATTTCTGTTATCGATAATATAAAAATGTTAAATGTGAGCGATTTAGTTTTTTTCAAGGATTTCGTCTGCAATGATTACTGACTTGCTTTAAGCGGATGGTGCATTCCATACAGCCAAGATCCAATTATAATCATTATCGTTAGGATGAACAGAGATAAGATTCTCTGGCTTCTACAAAAACTGTTCTTGTCGATAGGAGGTAACTTATAATTCTTATTTGTAACAAGTCTTTTACTGTCGGAATCTGGCATCAATCGAGATGCATTCCGGCTCATTTAGGACATTCTGGCAAGTGGCTTGCCGTTTCGATTTCCCCAAACGCGATCAGTATGTTTCGAATGTTGTTGGAATGCCATAAGAATATTCAAAATGCAGTCAGATGCATTGAGAATACATTTCGAATGCAGTTCGATATTTCGCCACTTCAAATGCACTTCGAAAGTTTTCAACATGAGCAAAGGAATCGGGTCGGC